ATGTCATGTTTATGTACCCGTAATTGGAAACAAAACACGAAATTGAATTCCGATTACGGGACACTCCTTTGTTTCCCGTAATCAGAAACAAAACACGAAATTGAATTCCGATTACAGGACACTTCTTTGTTTATCTAACATGGAGGAATCAAAATTTATGTGGGTCCCATCCAAATTATGGAATCCCATTCCTATTTTTGGAGGATTTGGACTCCTTATATGAGGGAGGGATTTGGATCCTAGAAGATGTGGGTAATCAGAATGGACTTATTTTACCCAGTGTTCTAAAAATCGGACTAGGCGCTAGGCGGCGGAGCTCCGACCTGATTTAGACCAAAACGTTTAATTAGGCGGGGAGGACTTAGGCAGCCGCCTAGGCGCTTGCTAAGCGCCTTAGGTGGCGCTAGGCGACAGTCTAGGCAGTTTGAATCTCGCTGCAAATTCGATCTACAACTTCTGATCTTGTATGTAGCAGCAGAGCCTCAGCGAATTTCTGCAGCTCGTCACTTTGAAGATGAGGGAAGAAAGAGTGCGAAGAGAGAGAGAGAGAGAGAGAGAGAGAGAGAGAAAGAAAGAGAGAGAGACTATTAAACATTTCAATCTGTGGTGGCGTAAGTTGGATTTGAGATCCAATTTTGAGGTTTTGAAAGGGCGAAGAAGAAGAACTAAGATAAGGGAAAAGAGATTGAGGAGAGATGAGGGAAAAGAGACTAAGGGGAGAGAGAGAGAGAGAGAGAGAGAGAGAGAGAGAGAGAGAGAGAGAAAGACTAAAAGATCCAATTTTCTGAAAGGGCAAAGAAGAAGAAACGAATAGGTTATACAAATGACATTCACTTTCCAAGGTCAAAAGCTGGTGATGACTGGGGTCCATCTTGGGTGATGTGAAAGATGTAAGGTGGGCAACTACTATTTAAAGGGTCATCAAATGGTTTTAATTATGAAAACCACCCACTTGCATGGGCTTTTTATATTTTTAAAAGTTTGGGATATATATTAATTTTTATATATATATATATAAATGTTATATAAATTATAAATTATTTCAATAATATTTTTTTTCCTAGGCAAGCATATTATATGTGTAAATAAAACATTCACATATGTATATTCTTCTATAAGAAATAACATATTATTCAATAATTATTTACATCTGATATAGTAAATTTAATTAATTCATATAATATTTAAGAAATTTACCTAAATCTGTCTAGGCGCTTGCATAGACTCCGCCTAACCGCCTAGTCGCTAAGCACCAGCCTACCATCCGACTAGCGCCTAGTGTTTTTTGAAACCTTGATTTTACCAATTGTGTCCTTAGTTGGTTTTTATTATTCCAACATGGCCCTTCATCTCACCAGAGAGACATTGCCCAGCTCTACAAATTTTTCATCTCCTCACCAACACACCCTCCCCCTCCCCGGGCCACATCTCATCCCCACTGCAATCACTCCCAACCATCTCTGTTTGTCTCTAGAGAATTTTGTAATCAGAACACTGGAAGTGAGAGAAAGTGTCACATCTCGGCCCGGGACGGATCACTTCCCGGGCCCGCTCCACCACCGTAGCACGATATTGTCCGCTTTGGGTTTACCATTCCCTCACGGTTTTGTTTTTGGGAACTCACGAGCAACTTCCCAGTGGGTCACCCATCATGGGATTGCTCTAGCCTCCTTCTCGCTTAACTTCGGAGTTCCTACGAAACTCGAAGCCAGTGAGCTCCCAAAAGGCCTCGTGCTAGGTAAGGATGAGAATATACATATAAGGATCACTCCCTTGGGCGATGTGGGATGTCATAATCCACCGCCCTTAGGGGCCCGACGTCCTCGTCAGCACACCATGACCAGGGTTAGGCTCTGATACCAATTTGTCACATCCCGGCCTGGGGCGGATCACTTCCCGGGCCCGCTCCACCACCGTAGCACGATATTGTCCACTTTGGGCTTACCATTCCCTCACGGTTTTGTTTTTGGGAACTCATGAGCAACTTCCCAGTAGGTCACCCATCATGAGATTGCTCTAGCCCCCTTCTCGCTTAACTTCGGAGTTCCTACGAAACTCGAAGCCAGTGAGCTCCCAAAAGGCCTCGTGCTAGGTAAGGATGGGAATATACATATAAGGATCACTCCCTTGGGCGATGTGGGATGTCACAGAAAGAGTTATGATGTGGTGGTGGCTCAGTTCTTTATCAGGAGTTGCCATGAGATGCAATGGAGAAAGAGTGTTATGGCAGGGGAATAGAGAGAGTGATGGTGGGGAAAAGCGACAGAGAGAGAGAGTGTGCTATGGTAACAGATAAGTTTGGCAAGTTTATTTTTTTTTGTTTTTTTATTTTTCTCTGAATAAGAAATTAATTAATGTTTTCTATTAATTAGACTATAAAATAATTTATTCACTAATAAAAAAAAGAGTAATAATAATTTATTTGAAATACATAGGAAAAAATGAATAAAACTAATTAAAGTTTAATTATATACGAATAATTTAATTAGTATATAAAATAATGGAAACAAATTAGACATAAAATAATTTATTATGGAAAAGGGCGTTTTAGTAATTATATTAATTTATATTCCGATTCATGTGAATTAGTAAACAACTTATATGAACTCAGTTTCAACTTTATTCTGATTCCAGCCAATTTAAGTAAACAGCCTCAACATGAATCTAATTCTGACTTTTTCTCATTCCAACTCCTCATTTCAATTCCTTATCAATCTAATTCCTTTTATTTTGATTATGGTTACGTAAACAAACCATAAGTATATTCTAACAATAACCCTACATAAGGGTTTAGTCTAAAGAAGCCGAGTTGAATACCAAGGTGTTTAAGGTCGGCTCGATTAATATTATTTGAGCTGAAGCTCAACACAACCCTGAACAAAGCCCGTAGAGCTGTGCTCAAGCACAGTTAAATTTTTTCAAGCTCCAGTTTAGTTGGCTTTCAGATGACCTTATCTTTCTAGTTTGGCACAACTAAATAGAGAGGGTAAAGTGCTTACGGGCTATTAAGTTTTAACTTTTATGCTAATCTAATTAGTACAACGGCATGATGTTATTCCTCTTCACTTGAAAGGGAAAAGTTTTAGGTTCGAATCTCGTGGATGACGAATTCAATATTAAATTAGATTGTCTATTGTGTGATTTATCCATAACTCCTCCTCCCTTTAGTGTAAAAATATCAATGCATTAAAAAAAAAAAATTAGTATTGTATTTTTTCATACAACAATATATTAGCACTAAGAAGTGAGGTAATAAATTGATTTCAAACTCGTTATTCACAAGTTTTAAATCTAAAACTTCTCACTTACAAGTAAATATGTGGAAACTTCTCACTTATAAGTAAAGATAGATTCCATTAGATCGTAATACTAAAGCCTTTCTCGCCAGTTTAAATGAGTGTTATACCTATATATAAATCAGATAGCCTGAGCTGAATATGTATTACACCATTGCTACACTAGTATGAATTTAATAACGAGTCACACTTGTGAAAATAAGACTTTAGTCCTTCAAACTCAATTTTCTTCATAGAAAACCCTACATAACTTTTTTACTCAAAGAAAACCCAATGACTAGGATCCACATAAGCAAATTCATTAACTTCATATTAATTCACACATTTTACATTTTTCACATGCCTAAAATACCCCTATTACATACTTGATGTAGACAATTAATTGTAAGGAAATAGTAAATGATTTTGCAACCAAAAAAACAAAAAAAGAAATTAATGTTAAAAATTTATTGCATTTTAATTTTTTAGAAAGGTTTTGAATTTTCATGAAACTATTCGATTCAGTTCTTTCACCATACTCTTGAATACTTTTGAATTTATCCTTTTTTTATTAATATATTAGAACATTGTATTTCATTATCTACATGCACATTAATTTACCTACGAACAATTATACCATGGGTGTAATAGAATATCTCTTTTTAACAATGATGCAAAATAATGTTTATACCAACAACAAAGCGTGCCTAACATATTTACTAATACATGGAAAATAATTTACCTATATTAAGAAGAAATGTAGTTCCATGCATAGTATTAAAAATACTATGTTACACCCATGTTTATACAACAATAAAACGTGCCTAACATATCTAACAATACATGAAAAATAATTTACCTACAAGTTAGAGAAATGTTATTTGGTTGGGTGTAGTATAAATTTTTTAATAATTGGAAAAATTAAATATAACTAGGTGTAGTGTAATTTTTTTATATAATTAGAACAAATTAATTTACCTACCTACTCTTTGAAATGTTCATTTCCAATGATGCAAAATGTTCATTACCTAACTACAAATTAATTTCCAATAATTTACCTACAACAATTATACCATGGGTGTAACCGTGTAATGTAATATCTTTCTTTACAATGATACAAAATATTGTATGTACCAACAACAAAACTTGCCTAACATAAGTACTTGTACATGCAAAATAATTTACCTATAACAAAAGAAATGCAGTTTGATGTATAAAATCAACAATATTATGTTCCACTCATGTTTATACAACAACAAAACGTGTCTAACATATATAACAATACATAGAAAATAATTTACCTACAAGTTAGAGGAATGTTATTTGATTCAAAATATATAATATAGGTGTAGTATTTTTTTTTTAAATAATTGGAACAAACTAATTTACCTACCAATTAATATGGATAAAATTGCTACAAAATATATCACGAAAAAAAAAAAAAACTACTTTTCTAGTTTGACATAGATACGGTCAATGTAAACACTTTTTTCATTTTATTTCACTTTTTCTACTACTTTTAATTTGGCATAAATTTAGGAATTTGCAAAAGGGACCATAAAGTATGAGTGGCATGAATGTAAATAAATTGTATTAATAAGTCAATAGTGTTCCTATATGTTTGCAAATTTTAAATTTGGGCTTAAACTAGATCTTTAAAGATAGATGGATTTTTATCTAAAAATAATAAATTATAAGGGCCAAAATCTAAATCACCCTTTAATTTATGTGCTGATCGTCCCCACTTAGCGAAAGCTTAAAAACATAGATTTCAGTTTTTCACTTCACTTCCACCCCGGTGCTTCGCAGCATTATTGAATGAGAATCTCAGCAAAACAATGGCTTCGCCACCGCTGCCAAAGGTTGAACTCCGAGAGCTCGGCAACACAGGCCTCAAGCTCAGCTGCGTCGGCTTCGGCGCCTCACCTCTCGGCAACGTCTTCGGTCCCGTCTCGGATGACGGAGCCATCGGCTCCGTTCGCGAAGCCTTCCGCCGAGGCATCAATTTCTTCGACACCTCTCCGTATGTAACTTTTGATCCTCTCTCGAGTTTTAAATTCTGTTCATAATCCTTGTTCTTGTTCTGTTTGGTTGCCAAGAAAATTTGAGAAATTTAAGGAAGTTTTCGTAAAATTGAGCATGTTTTCTCATGATTAGATTAATGACAAAACTTAATTTATAATGAAGCCAGAAAGGTTGAAACTTTTTAAATTGTAATGGGATGTTTGGTTGGAGACGATTCGCGGGAATTTAAAGGGGATTACTTTTCTAATGCTTCTGTTTGGTTGCTGAGAAAATGAAAAGTTGGGGTTCATGTGATTGCAGATCAAAAAGAATATTTTGATATTCTTAGAGTTCACATAATTTGTGACACAAAAATACTTGTTTGGTTGGAGAGATGAGATGCAAAGAGACACTAAAACAAAGTTTTGATATGCAATTATGTGCTTGTATTTGCTCTAACTACTAAATAAACAAAATTTATTCACTACATTCGTCTTCGGATGTCACAAGACTTTTGTATGTTCTTTCTACCCTTTTTCTTCCCAATTTGTAGGTATTATGGAGGGACTTTGTCAGAGAAGGTGCTTGGTAAATCGCTAAAAGCTCTAGGTGTTCCTAGAAGCGAGTACATTGTGGCAACCAAGTGTGGACGCTATGCTGACGGTTTTGATTTTAGTGCGGATAGAGTGACTAAGAGCATTGATGAGAGCTTGGAGAGGTTGCAGCTAGATTATGTCGATATTCTGCAATGCCATGATATAGAATTTGGGTCTCTAGACCAGGTGCTTTGGCATTTATCGTTTGTGTGCTTTATTTGCTTTAATTCACAGTGTGACATGTAGAGTTAGTTTTTTTTTTCCTTCCTGTCTGTTAGGGAATATAATCTCAATTGATACAGCATAATGATCAAGCTTGTGTGTTCCTTTTTACTTTGGTTAACAGATTGTAAACGAGACAATCCCTGCCCTAAAGACACTGAAAGAAGCCGGGAAGATTCGTTTCATTGGTATCACAGGACTTCCATTGGGAATTTTCACATATGTTCTTGATCGCATACCAGCTGGCACGGTGGACGTCGTCCTGTCATATTGCCACTTCGGTATTAATGATTCAACATTGGAGGATTTACTACCATACCTAAAGAGCAAAGGTGTTGGAATCATTAGTGCTTCTCCGCTTGCAATGGGTCTGCTTACTGAGAGTGGTCCTCCAGAATGGCACCCGGCATCTGCTGAACTGAAGGTTAACATTCTCGATGCATTAGTTCCAGCTGGCGCTACACTTCATGCAATCCTGTCTTCTTTAATGCAATTTAGAAATTATAACTGATATAATCTGTTTTATGTTCTTACAGGCTGCTTGCCTAGCTGCTGCTGTCTATTGTAAAGAGAGAGGGAAGAATATTTCAAAGTTAGCTCTGCAATACAGTTTGTCCAATAAGGATATCTCATCAGTGCTGGTCGGCATGAACTCTGTTATTCAGGTTCCAATCCATCATTTGCGTTTAACGTGCTCATTTTGTTAGGATGTAGAGTCGGGGAATATAGATTCCGCCCGGCTCTATAGCTTAACAATAGCACAAACTCGTCGTGATCATGTCAAGTAAATGAATACCTCTTCGGTCCTCTCACATTGTCATCACTTGGAAAACCCTTTTTATTATGTTGTAAAATGCCTACATTCATAAAGATCATTCATCCGTCTTAAATGATTGTTTAAATAATCAGGTTGAAGAAAATGTCGCTGCTGCTGTGGAGCTTGCGACCATTGGCAAGGATGAGAAAACTCTAGCAGAGGTTGAAGCTATTCTGAAACCGGTGAAGAATCAGACATGGCCTAGCGGAATCCAGCAGAGCTGACAATTTTGCTCTTGTATGTAACCATCTGTACCCTGTACTTATTTTGATTGCTTTTCAGTCGCCTGTTAAGGCTTGTCAAATGATTTATACAGATCAATGGTTTCTGTTTCTGTGCATCCATTAATTTGTGAGAAAAAGAGAAAAAAACCAATCTGGTTAAGATGAGTTTAACAACAGTAGTTATGTCTCTTATACTATCGTAATTGGCTCATAATCTCGTTGCTTCTAGATTAGAGAGTTCCGGGATGAAAAAAATATGGATTAGAAAAATCCGCATTTCGGATACATGGGTAAGCATTCTTCTGAATATCTGTTACCCTAGCTGTACTCAAATCCATGCATATTGTTAGCCTCCGGTTCTCCTCCGCTTTGGAAAAAATCGATGTCAAGAAGTTATCTTTCAGCTGTCCTTGATGTCAAAACTGTATGCTAGCATCCACTCTCATGATCTCATCCACGAGTTAGTGATGAGGTGAAGGGATCTGTCTTCACTGCAAGGGATTGTGATACCGCCCATTGGGTGACCATATCCAAATCCTTCTTCAGCCTGATTCAGCAAGTCTTGGAATGAAGGCTGGTTCAAGCACAATACTGGAATCACAAACCTCTTCCTTTTGCTTTCCCCAACATAGACCGCAAAGTAGCCCTTTGGAACATCGATGGCTGGCCTTCGAAGCAGCCTCGTTCGAGGTTGAGTGTCGAAAATTTTTGTTACCAGGGAATACAATATGTATTTTTCCAGCAATATATAACCTAGAGAAGACAGGAACCAGGGACTCCTAGATAAAATTAACTGTGGGTATTCTTCCAGCAAACGGAAGTTCTCCTTTCGGCCCCAGGTTTTTGAATTTCGACCGGACAAGGAACAAGCTAGGTTGTCGCCCCATGTGATGTTGTACTGTGACAAAAACATTGTGATTAAACTTTGGGGCCAGAATTGAAGTGGATGGTAAGGTTGATGGGAAGCACAGAACAAACTAGCTAACATGATATCTTTGTGTGATATATAATGCATAGAAAGATACAGTTTTCTTTTTTCTTTTCTTGCTTTTGTTTTTTCTCCTCTCTCCATTTAGTCAAGTTTGATATTCCAAGGGAAGCGATCTTCACGCTCCCGTTTTCTCATGCACTCCTCCGTTTTATGATTATTGGCCATACATGGAAGATTAGGCTTATCCGTGAAGAGCAGGTACTTAGTCTATAAGACATTAATTTGAATTAGGGTTTGACATAGACATGTGAGGGGTAGGGTAGAGGTTGAGTAGGGCATGATTTTGTAAATTGCAACCTTTATACAACAGATTGATTGACCAATCAACTTTCCAAAAGAGTCAGACGACAGAAGCTTGCGACCTACCATATCATCCATATAATTTCCATCCCTATATGAGCTGGAAAGTAGCTTTACAAATCCAAAAATCTCTCAATTCTTAAGCATATCAATATTCCACACAAACTATGGGTTTGAGCTTGTTATCAATGATCCGGAGATCTATGTTGACGTCTAAGCAACCGAGTATGGCCACAATGAATGTCCCGAAAGGCTACTTCGCTGTTTATGTAGGAGAGGAACGGAAGGAGAGACTTGTAGTACCAATATCATTTTTGAACCACCAGTGGTTCCAAGACTTGCTGCGCTGCAGCGAAGAAAAGTTCGGATCCACTCATCCGGGGGGTGGCATCACTCTTCCGTGCACTGAAGAGGCCTTCACTCACACTTCTTGTTTGCATTCCTTCTAATGTCATGGCCAACATCACTACACAAAACTCTTCAATTTTGTGCCCTGAAGAGTTAGAATACTTCCATTGTAAATATCCCCTTTGTATTCTGATAGTAAGAAAATAATTTATACAATTTAATTTTTCATTTTAGTTCTCATTCATCAGTTCCTTGCCTAGAGAATATTGGCTCATTTGGATGTCCTTTTAAAATGGCTAAAAGCTCTTTTAGAGAGAATGTTTTTGGGTTCCAAAAGCACTTAAAGGGCTTTTCCAGGATTTACTTGCATTTTTATTAAGGTTTTACTTGCATTTTTACTAAGGATTGATTCCAAAAACATTTTCATTAAAAGAGCTTTCAGTTATTTTAAAAGTATATCCAAACAAGCTCTATTAAATAAATAGTGATTTTTAGGGTTCTTAATTACAAACTGAAGAGACAATTGAAACGCATCCTCATAATCCATCATTGACACAACTGCAGGTGATATGATTAATTATAATATTTGGGAATGTGAAATTAATCCCCGATCACGTACTGCATTTTTGGTAGTCTACATATGTGAAAAGGCACTCCAGTTCATCAAGTTTTATAATGGTTGCGACGTCCTTGTTCTTCATTTAATCAGTTAATTTATATGTTTTGGGGGGCAGCTATGGAGGTTAAGAGGAACATGAGACTACCGGTAACTTATATCACCATGTGATCTTGTCCTGTTTGATTTCTGTTCCTTGATTTCTATTGCCTAAGATGAAGGTATGTTACGAGGTTGCTAATTTGCACATTCTATTAGGATTGAAGAGTTGGGGACAATAGATTCTACCCGGTTCTATGGCTTTTTACTAGCATCAACAGATGATCATGTCAAGTGAATGAATTACCTATTCACTCCTGTCACATTGATGTAACATAGAAAACCCTTTCTTTTTATTATGTTATAAAATGTCTACATTTATTAAAGATCATTCTTCTGTCTTAAGTTTTATGCAATCGTTTAAGTAATCTGGTTAAGGAAAATGTTGCTGCTGCTGTGGAGCTCGCAACGGTTTGTAAGGATGAGAAAATTGTAACAGAAGTTGAAGATATTTCTGAAACCAGTGAAGAATCAGACATGGCCTAGCGAAATCCAGCAGAGTTGACAGTATTGTTCTTGTTTGTAACCATCTGTATCTTGTACTTAACTCTAGTAGAACTTGAAGATATTTCTGAGACCAGTGGCGAAGCTAAGCCCAATGTGGGCCTGATTAACTGTAGTTTTGACGGGGCCTGCGAGGAGAGGACGAAGTGTGGCGGCTTTGGGGTGATTATGCGCAACAGTAATGGGGTTTTTCTCGCTGTACTGCCAGGAAAGCTTGGGGATGTCACCTCGCCGCTAAAAGCTGAGCTTCTTAAGGCAAGGAGAGCCGTGGTTTTTGTCCAGGAGTTTTATGCAGGTGGTATGGATGTAAGTCTTCGAAGGAGACTTTTATGACACTTGCCGCTATGCAACAACAACGGGATGATAGTTTTTCGTTGGGGCCCATTATTAATGACATTCGTGCCTTCTTACAAGAGTTCTCCCAGCCTAAATTCAACCATGTTCGTCGGGAGGCTAACCACGCAGCACATAGGCTTTCTCGCGCAGGACTTGGGACGTCGACATGAGGTGATGTGGTTCCAGGAACCACTGAAGTTAATCACTGATATTTTAATTGAGGATAGCTAGCTGTACATGATTTGCTTTGCTCTTGGTTGTATTTTCTTTGAGGATAGTTAATAAGTTGTTTGTATGGGACCTTTTTTTTCTCTTCGACTAGGTTGAAATCCTGACCAAGGGTTTTATCGAGGCTCATTTATGCACCATATTCTCACTTATGTACGTATTCCTTAATCAATAAATATTGTATTTGTTCATAAAAAAAAGTTCAGTAAAAATAAATACAAGATTGTTCGTATACTTTTGGGGTGAGATGTGAAGGCTAATAGATACATGAGCCAGATTAATTAGATCCCCGAAAATATCTTTTATCAATGGATTGTGTTTCTTGGCATCCATTAATTTGGGAGAATAAGAGATTAAAGATAAACAATAAACATCAATGGAAAAGGAAGAAACAAAATCAATCAATCTGATTAGGATGAAGTTTACAACAGTAGTATGTCTCTTATACAATCACAATTGGCTCATGTCCCGGCTCTTCTTGACTAGTGACTTCCCGGGCGGAAAAATATGGATTAGAAAAATCAGAATTTCGGATACAAGGGTAGGCATCCTTCTGAACATGTGCTACCCTAGCTGTACTAAAATCCATATTGTTAGCCTCGGGTTCTCCTTGGCTTCAAGAAAAAACGATGTCAAGCAGTTATGTTTCAGCTGTACTTGATGTCAAAACTGTACGTTGTACTCTCATCCACTGGATTGAGAAATTAGGTGCAGAAATCTGTCTTCACTGCAAGGGATTGTGATTCCACCCATGGGATGATGATATCCAAATTCTTCTTCAGCCTGACTTAGCAAGTCTTGGAATGAAGGCTGGTTCAAGCACCATACTGGAATCACAAACCGCTTTCTTTGCCTTTCTCCAACATAGACCGCAAAGCAGCCCTTTGGAACATCGATGGCTTTCGAAGCAGCCTCGTTCGAGGTTGAGTGTCGAATTGAAGAACGTGAAACTTGTGCTGCTTGTGAAGCCAATTGGGTTTATTATATAGATGAAGAGTGTAGGATATTGGCAATGAGAACTCACATGGTTTGGTCTGTCCACTATTTGTTATGTGGACTTCATCTGTTATTGGCCAAACCTGTAACCTTCTAGAGAAACATCTTGCCCTACCTCCTTTAGTTAAACCAAGTAGCCAATGAAAGATACAGATTGAAATTCAAATAATAAAAATCTTAGGAAGTATAGAGCTGCAAGCAAACGAGGGGCCAATATTCAAATAGATAATAGCGTAGCTACTCTTATAATTATTAATGTTAGTGAGAAACGCTTCAAGGAGAAATTTTTCATCGTGCTCAGAACACGGGTGGTACATCACGTGATATTATTTAAGTGGAGGCGAGTTTTATTTTTCAAATTGTTAATTTTTTAACACAAGTATCTCACTATTTATATAATGACATGTAGTGTACCACTCATTATTCCAAACATACTGAAAAATCTCTCCAATTCAAGAATCAAATTATAAAAAAATTTCTTTCACTTATTAATTGTTAATATCGGGTGAACATTGGGTCAATAGACTTTTTCCTTTAAAACAACCCCTTAAAGTGTTTTTTTACCATAAAAACGAGTTTTGAGGAACTTAATTGTGAAAATCGTCTTGGATTTGGTATGAAATTAGAATTGTATTCCTAACTAAAGTAGGAATCCTAGTTGTAATGAGTATAGGAAACTTGGATGCAAGTTTTCAGGTGGTGTTTGGATTCTAACTTAGTTTGGGATTAGGTTTGTGGCTAGGTTGTCTAGTATAAATATGTGTAAACCTTAACGTTAGAGTGTGTGATTAAGAGAGAGTGACTTGAGAGGCAAGAGAACTATTGTGAAGTTTAATGTGAGTTCTTTTGTAATCCTTTATTGATTAACAAAAGTGAGTTTCCGTTGTTCATATCTTTGAGATTGTTTTGGTTTAGTCATCTTGCTTGTTTTACAACAAGTCGTATCAAGAGCTTGGTTCAGTGATTAAGCCAAAACAATGACAAAACCTGAAGACTCCAGCAAGAGTGGAGATGATGGGGGCACTGAGGTCACCAAAACATCGGTGCAAAGTGCTAGGTTCGAGATCGAGAAGTTCGTCAGGACCAATAACTTCGCTATGTGGCAGTGCGAAGTTAAGGATCTGTTGATACAACAAAGACTACTTGTAGTACTTGAAGATATGCCTATGTCGATGAAGAAGGAGGAATGGTTGCGGCTGAATGTGCATGCATGTTCCACAATTCAGTTATGTCTTGGCAAGGCACAAAAGTATGGTGTGATGAATATTTCATCGGCCAAAGAACTATGGGATACACTGGAGTCCAAATATTTGAAAAAGAGTGCAGAAAATAGGCTTTATCTTAAGAGTAAGCTTTATTGTTTCCAATATAAGGAAGGAACAAAGATGATTGATCATCTTGAAGAGTTTAACAAAATGATTGCTGGATTGTTGAATTTAGAAGAGACGATCAAGGATGAAGACAAAGCGTTGATCCTGATGAATTCTTTGCCTGAATCCTATGAATCATTTGTTACGACATGGATTTATGGTAGAGAAACTATTAAATTTGATGAGATCTCATGTGCTGTGATGAATCATGAAGTTCGAAATCTTGATAGACAAGAGAGGAACAACTCTGAAGCACTAATGGTGAGAGGAAGATCAAAAGAAAGAAAGTCTGCAAATAGGAAGAAAAGCAAGTCTCGCACAAGAGGTAACTCAAGCAACAGAAAATTCTTGGATAAAGATGAGTGCGCTTTTTGCCATGAGAAGGGACATTGGAAGAAGGATTGTCCTAAAATCAAGGCTAAAAACAAGGAAAAGAAATATGAGGATTCAGAGGCAAACATTGTTGAAGCTGATGATGAGGATTTTGTTTGTGCCCTAACAGCAGTGGAAAGGATAGACTATGTAAATCAATGGGTGCTTGACACTGGATGCACTCATCATATGACTTCCCAACGTCATTAGTTCTCATCTTTCAAAAGCATCACTGGAACTGTGTATATGGGTGACGATAATCCATGTTCAACGCAAGGGATTAGCAGTGTTATGATTAAGCATCATGATGGTGCAGTTCGAGAGGTACAAGGAGTAAGATATGTTCTAGACCTCAAGAAGAATTTAATTTCCTTAGGCACCCTTGAATCCCAAGGTTGCAAATTTTATTCTGAGAATAATATACTTAAGGTTGCTAGAGGGGCATTAGTGATAATGAAGGCTCCAAGAAGAGGTTTGCTTTACTTATTGGAGGGCAAAACCATGGAAAAATAGGTAGCTATGGTGGCAGAAGGTGATCAAGAGGATACATCTTCTCTATGGAATATAAGGTTGGGGCATGTGGGAAACAAAGCACTGCAAGGGTTAATTCAACAAGGGATTTTAAAGGGAGCCAAAAGTGGAAAAATAGATTTTTGTGAACACTGCATTCTTGGCAAACAAACAAGGGTAAAATTTGGCATTGCAATACATCAAACTGAGGGTATATTGGAGTATGTACACTCAGATGTCTGGGGACTTACAAAGAATGAATCTTTAGGAGGGAAGAGATGGTTTGTGTCCTTTATTGATGATTACGCACGAAGATCATGGATTTATATGATGAAGCACAAACATGAGTATTAGTGTTTGATTTATGGATTGAGTTTCTTCAATGGAATAATGAATGCAGAAATGTACAGAGAGAAAATGATTAGAAAGTCATGAAAGCTTCAAGGTTCATTGGATTCCATTCTCTCCAAGCAAGGAACTCGGAGACCATATATTACCGTTAGAGGAGTGAGTAACACACTCACTCTCTCACATCATTACAACTCAATCACAACCATCCATTCGTAAGTCATCATATAAGATGCTTACACATGTCATGAGCTATGACTCATTACAATTTAATCTAGATGCCATATGGAATATGATCCAAAGGCTCACATTACATCTTACATCTTGCATATAATAAAACCAATATAGCAAATACATTTATACACCAATACTCCCTTCTAAATGTTTTACTGATTTCACTCCGAGTGCAGGTCTTAAGAATTCAAACTGATCCTTAGGAAGAGCCTTGGTAAAAATGTCTGCCAATTGTTCCTCTGTTCTACAGTAGTTTAACTCAATGGTGCCATCTTGAATAACATCCCTTATGAAGTGATATCTCCTATTGATATGCCTTGTTTTCTGATGGAACACTGGGTTCTTGGACATGGCTATGGCAGAGGTGTTGTCACATAGCAAAGGTGTAGCCTCTACTTGTTCCTCTCTAAAATCAGATAACACAAACCTCAGC